ACTTTGTAAAATATTCAAATACTCAAAAATATATCATATAATAAAAATATTCACTCTAGATCATTCGAGAATGTTCTGGATATTAGTGTTATTTATCATAATGTCAACCAAGATTAAGACTGATGACTGGAGAGAGCTCAGAGGCTAGGACAATCCTTAAGCTCTACAAAACTATCATAATCATATGCCTTTGCTTGTCCACCGCCAATTATATAATGCAATTGGATTGACGTTGCGTGACCAATCTAGTTAAACAAGTAACACTCGCTTACAGTCATTGAATAACTGATGCATATCCACCGCTCTTAGATTTCTACTGCATATCCACTATTGCTGAAGGACTATCTTCATTTGTTCACCATCGTCGGATCACTATCACTTGTCTTATGCCATTAGACTATCCCCATTGAACCACTAAATTTCATCCATTGTTGCTTGACCATTGCTGCTAGACTATTGGCACTTGATTATGACTATTTTGCCCTCTTTCACCATTCTCATCCTTCTAACTTCCGATACTTGAATAAGATCAACCAACCTTTGTTACTTATTTATGCCCGTCTAGCCTCTCAAAATTTTGAAACAACTCCTCACTCTTATTATGAAGGAGGTTGGACCAGAGGTCAATGGCTTGGACAATCCTTTAGCTCTACAAAACTGTCATCATCAGATGCCTTCGCTTGATTACCACCAATTATCCAATGTCGTTGGATTGACATTCTGCGACCAATCTTGTTAGACAACTGACAATCGTTGAATAACAAATGCTTACCATGGCCCTTAGATTGCTACTACATATCCACAATTATCAAATTTTCTTTGCCCATCCATTGCCATCAAATCATTGACATCAACCATCATCATTGCCTGAGGACTACCTTCACTTGTTTACCACCATCAGACCACTATCACTTGTCTTATGTCATTAGGCTATCGCTACTGAACCACTGAATTTGCTTCATTGCTGCTTGACCATTGCTATTAGACTTTTGACACTTGATTATGGTTAATGTGTTCACTTTCCCCACTGTACGATTGCCTAAATACTATCACCCAACTAGGCCGTCGACCTCTGTATACCATTATTATATCTTTAGTGCAAATATAGGTATTCAATCATCTCCCATCCACATTCATAAGGATCACCGGATCACCGAACCACCATCACTCAATCAACTATGCTTGGCCATCCATCACCCATCTGTAATCACCAACCTATATTGCTTTACTTCAATTGTATGAGCTTTTGCCCATCAACAGTTCCCCGTCCTTAGACTTGACGAGTTCATTGCATGTTGTCGCCATCATTAATGATGTAAACATTTTCATATCATGATCATATGGACTTTGTAACGTTTAAGACTCCTCTTCTAAATAATTAAAAATATAAATGGAATAAAAGATCAATACAATTATCTTTGTGTTACTTTATTATGCAAAATTAAAATATTAATTATTCATTTTATCACGTGAATTTTACTACTCTCAACAAGGAAAGTGTATTACGTGCAGCTGATCACATGTGCGGACCACAACGACGTCCAGATGCAATCATACTGTCGTGGATCGCACGAAGGCCCATCCAGACCATCATTATGGCCGCTGGTGTGCAAAAAGAGTTTATCAGATCCTACCATCTTTCAATAAATTTTCTTGTGCAGAAGGAGGCCATGCATTGCTTCCTTTCTGACAATTATTTTTCAGGTGTAATTACACACTAAATGTTTTTTTTGGCAGCTTAATTCTGCTTTATTTATTAACAGCTTTGTAATCCTCTTATACTTTAAATTAGTTTTATTTTTATTATTTCCAAACATTAAAAAAAAAATTAAAAAATTAAAAAATTAAAAAAAAAATCAAATAAATATCTCTCCTTATCCTCATCAGCCAGCTATAGTTTGGCTTATCCTGCGTCATGTTCAATCATTCTATTCTTATCCCTTGAAATTAAGACACTTAATATGTAATAATTAATTCAAAATAATATATCAACAATAAACCATCACCTGAAAAATGTTTTTAAATTCTAATTTCAAAATTTTAAACTACACTTACATGATCTACATATGTACCAGGAAAAATTATTCCATATGGACACCACATGCAGATATACATGCGGTGCATGCGGTGTCCGATCTCTATCTTCGATCGCCGCAAAGATGTATTTCATTGAGTCCCACTTTCAACTTTTAAAAAAAAAATAATAATTTTTTTATTGTGATGATCGACGGTGGAGATCCGACACCGCATGCATCTCTGTATGCGGTATCCGTATGAAATAATTTCTCATGTACTAGATAGTCTCCACATAGTAACATATCCGATACCTAAAATATGACTTTTACCTTTATAACATTTTGATATCATATATTTAAGGTTAAAAATGTTTACTTTATGTTAAAAATAGTTAGCAATAATGATATTTTTTTATTGATTTTAAGCATTTGAGTGTCATATATATATATATATATATATATATATAAAACTTGAAAATTAATTTAATTTTTTTTTTTTTAAATTAGCTGGCACCATGAAATTGTATGTATCTGTCTGTATGGTTCACGAGAAATGTTATCTGGTCTTCTTTGGCGCTTGCGGGTTTTGTCGGATAACAATTAACGAATATATAAATAAAATTCAGTTGATTATTATAGCTATGCTTATCAGCATTAACAATTTTCATGTAAAGTGCAACATTGAATTTTGAGGATAGCCATCCGCTTGACGATGAGCTCGATTAATGAATTGTGCTCGAACTTGAGCATGATTTTACGAGTTTGACTCACTCACGAGCCGACTTGTTTCCTATAATAGAGACAAAATAATATTATTTTCTGATACACTACCAACAAATTTTCATCATCCAACACGAATCTCGAGGCATGACATGAATCTCGAGGTATGACATGAATCTCGAGGCATGACACGAATCTCGAGATAATATTTTAATAAAAAAATATTAAAATTTTGATAAAAAGTTATCCAAAGCTCTGATTTCAGCAAACTTATAGTCAAACTTACATGTTCAATGAGACGAACCTAATGATATGAAAATTAGTCTACTCCAAGTCAAATCAAGCCCAGATCAAGTCATTAAACCATAGTTAGAAGATTTATGAATACATTTGAAAAGTCAAACGGTCGTCAAATATGACAAGTTTATACTCAAATCAAGCGGCTCGACAAGACGAATCCAACGAGCCCAAGATCACTAAATTCTGACATCATTAAAGCACTCAAATGTCCATTAACATCGTATGATCGAGGAATCTTTCCGGACTGTTCGATCAAAATGGTTTATATTCCTACGTTAATTGCTCTCAGAACACTATAAATAGAGCCCCATCCCTCTCATGAGGGAGGAGGAAGTCTAGAGAGAGTCTGAGGTCTTGAGAAGAAACTGCAGCTCAGTATCACCACCAATCGTCGTCGACGACAGTGGGACAAGAGATTTTTGTAATCATCAATCAATAGTGGATTTCCGCAACTGGGGCAGACCTCGTGTGTGTGCTGAACTTTCGTACAACGCTAAGATGATAATCTGTTACTCTACCGCCGCTAATTTTCTAGCACACATTAGTTTGGCGCTGTCTGTGGGAAACTCTCAATCCAACCACTGAAGTAATTGCTCAATTTCCTACATGGCCACCAGGCAAAATATTCGGGACAACGGAGTAGCTTGCTCTAACTCCCATCGTTCCAGGGAGCAGTAACGAAGTCAAGGGTGATATGTTCTTCATCTTATCGCCTTGGAAGACATTATCCAACCAACGAGGGGGTTTCAGGTTCTTCTATGGAAGAACAAATACGTAATGGAGGAGTCTCAACTGGAGATCATATAATTCCTACGAGGGATCCAACAACCACCGTCCACACCGATGACCGAAACTCGTTTACCATTAAATTGGTGACTTACGAGAAACATACTGCCCGGAGGAACTCGTACTGTCCCCCTGCTCAAAAGGGAACAATTCCTTTGCCAGGACATGATGATGAACTCCTAGACACACAAGTTCCACTCATCCATCTCATGCAGTTCCCCTAGCACCACCACGTCTTGCTACCGTTCCGGATGATGTCATCCGTAACGAACTACATCGCCTCGTCCGAGAAGAGTTCCCCCTAAAGAAAAAAGATCGCTTCCACACTAATCCTAACATCATTGAATCCTCTCCCTTAGTGAATGAGGTCCTCCAACACCATATCCCAACAGACTTCAAGTTGTCAAACATTGACGCATATGAAGGGATAACTGACCCTTATGAACATATTGATCATTATCAAACCATCATGCACATTCAACGTGCCTTTGATGTGCTTCTGTCGTGCTTCTATATCAGGTGTTCCCAGCCACTCTTAAGGGACAAACTCGAACCTGATTCTACTCTCTGTCGGGGGACACTGTAAACACCTTCAACGAGCTTGCCAAACTATTTATGGAGCAGTTCATAGCAAATTGACGAATCATCAGGATTCATCCCAACTCTTAGGAATTCGTCAAAGTGAAGGAGAGTCGCTTAAAGACTACTTTCGCAGGTTTTCTGCTGAAGCATGTCAAATTTCAGGAGTAGATCCAGAGTTACTTAAGGGGGTTTTCCTCGGGGGGCTCCGCCCAAGACCCTTCCACTCATCACCGATGCGAGAGACAGTTCGTTCTTATACCGATCTTGTCCACCGTGTTGAGGCTCAAATCACTGCATATGAGACTATCAGTGCACATAAGGAACAATTTGAGAAATTTGGGGGAAAGCACAAAGGTAACTCCAGAGACAATAATCTATCTTCGCAAAAGAGAAAGTCTGAACAACAGAAGAATCGTGACCTCCTCCTTCAACTTGCGGGTCAACAAACTGAATATCGACCCAAGAAAAAGTATACACCATTCAACACGTCGCGTGTAAACATATGGAAGGCCATCAAGGATGAACAAGCTGTTAAGTGACCTCACCCCTTAAAACCTAACATGGGAAATCAAGAACAATAGTATCATTTTCATCGAAGTCGTGGTCACACTACTAAGTCATTTAAACTCCTTAGGGAAGAAATTGAAAGGTTGATTCAGCAGGGATATCTTGGTCGATTTATTCAAAACAAACTAGCTGGTAACGAGGTTGTCATCTTCATTGATATTGGAGCTCCAAACCCCCGAGTCAAGACTTTTGCCTCATATAGCAATGAAGAAAAACTCTGACAACAGTTGTATCTTCTCCCAGAAATAAGCGATGTGGCCCACCTCAGAGTTGCTTCCTACCGCCAAAGAATTGCTCGCCACTTCAACTGAAAAGTAAAGCCTGGACCTATCTCCATTGGTGACCTGGTTTTGCGTAGTATCGAAGCCGCTTGTCATGGTCCCCAACGCAACAAATTATCCCCTCTCTGGGAAGGCCCATACATCGTGACTGTCATGATCAAGCCTGGAACCTTCAAGCTCAAAGACTCAGATGGAAAATCTTATCACAAACTTGAAATGTCGAGAATCTTCGGAAATACTACCAGTAGCACTTCAGTTATATCATCTATGTCACATTGCATACAATGTCAATGTATCTCAGACTTATTAAATAGTATTTACTTGCTTTCTTCTACAAAAAAAAAAAAAAAGAATATCTTTAGAAAGTGTAACGACTCATTCACGAGGCACTTTATGCTTCTCGGCCCGAGAAATACACAACTTTGATTGTATCTTAGTCAAAGCACGATCGATCACAAGGGGATTTGATCTGACCTCATGGGTTAACATGTTGAATTTTTACTCCGATAAGCATTCCTAATAGGTTAACAGTCCTTGGTGGAATATAACTTATCACTTCCACACAGGTTCATAAGTAAGCAATGCTCCAACAAACAACCTCAGATGAGTTAATAAATCCTCGGTGGACTTTCGTGGGATCCTCCCATACATGTTAAACATCACTGAGTAATACTCTGATGCATAACCTCAGCCAAGTAAAAGGCCGCTGACAATTTATCCCCACAGTAACCTTCTTGCATGACATTGAAAATCCAACGCATCAAGCCACTGCGATACTTCGCCCAGCACGACGCTGCGACATACTGCCACGACACATCACTGCGCTGCAACACGTCGCCCCGACATACCATCATAATGTGTCGCCACGCCGCAAGTTACCACGACACACCACCACAACATGTTGCCACAACTCAACACGTCGCTGTAACGCTTCGCCCCAACGCGTCATCACGCCGGGACACATCACTACAATGCGTCACGTCATCACAACACACTACTGCAACGCATCGTCACGCAGTCACATGTCACCGCGACGCACTACCGCAACGCATCGCCACACTGCGACATATCATCACAATGCATCGCTGCAGAGCAACACGTCGTTGCAACGCCTCGTCGCAGCGCAACACATCGCTACAACGCGTCGCCCCACCACAACACGTCACGACAACACGTTGTACCATCGTGTCGCGCCGCCGCAACGCATCGCACAGTCGCAACGGGTTGTCATGCCACGCCACCGTGTCGCACCGCCACAAAGGGTTTCCTCGCCGTGCCGCCGCCC